GATGGGGGGCAAGGCGCCTCCCTCCCCTCGCTGACCCCATCTGTAGCGTGTGTGTGTGGAGGGGACTCGTCTACGGCCCCGTGCCGCTGGCGTGGAGGATGAAATGATTGCCGAGGGCCGAGGGCCGAGAACTGCCACATGGCAGTGACCACGGACGGTTTGGCCCCAGCCCTCCGCACTTACATTCACCAGACCAGCCAAAGCCGGTTCCCGCCAGGACGCTGCTGAACAGCACAGGATTTGGCCTTGGCCAAAGAGAGGTCTGGCGTGCGCCCTGGGCTTCTGGGAGGTGATCTCGGTGTATGTGACAGGAGTGTGTCTGGCTAGGGCAGGGGCTGACCACACCGGATCCCAGTGTGGGGCTGGCCGTGCCAGAAAGACCAACCGTGGGACAGACGGGGGTCACACGGTATCGGCTGGCCTGGACACTGAGTTCACCAATGAGGGCGATCAATCAATCAATCAATCAGTCGTGCCTCAATCAAGAGCCTGGGCACCACAGCTCGGCGAGCTTCCCTAATGGGCAATGCTCCGCGTGTCGGTCACACATCGGTGTCAGAGGGTAACGTGAATGCGGGAGCTTTCAGCCAGTGCTGTTCTAACGAATGATCACACCGGAGGCTGGTTCTCGGAACCCCTTGAACTTGCGATTGGTGTCGGGAATGAGGGCAGTCTTATGGGGAGACCGCTCCCTCAGCCTCAGCAGTCCGCCGACCCCGGGAATCTTCTACAACACAAGCCTCCTGAGTTCCATGCCCGCTGTCACTCCCAACCACCCAAACTGGGAAGGATGGGGCTGGGGGGGGGGGGGGGGTGCAGGGGGGGTGCCGAGGGAGCTCGTGCCGGCGCTAAGTGAAGCGCTTTCCAGAGGCCAACTCATGGGTGCCTCAGTCTATGCATCTGTAACACGGGACCCACCGCGCCCACCTCTCCAGGCTGCTCACGTCTCCAGGCCTGAGGGCCCACAGCTAGGGAGCAAAGCACATGGTTCACCTCGATGGCCGGAGCACTCAGCTTTAATCACCTCTGCTGGCTGAGGTCAGCTCGGGGGCGAGACAGGCCCACCCTCAGGAGCAGGTCTCACTCGCATGGAAAATGCCGGCTCGTACATCTGAATCATCACGATTGCGAATATGGGCCAAGCGTCACCTCCACGCTGGGAGACGTAGGACAGCGTCCCCTAACACTGCCTGGTCGTGTCCTGACAGTCACCTGGGGGCTTCCCAGGCCCAGGCCCTGACAGGATCCAAACGGCAACAGAGGAGCCTGGGAAATCTGCAGGTTTACTATCCCCTGTGGGCTGGGTCTCTTGCAGGGGCAGATTTGAGAACTGCTGTCACGATCAGAGGGGCCTGGGTCCCCCGCAAACCCCCGACAGCACAACTGTTGGGCAGGCCTCAGGTCCTGGGCCTCTGTTTCCCCCTCTACGCAAATGGGGGTGGGAGTTAGGGCTGCTCGTTCTCCCTTGTCCTACAGCAGCGAGGATGAGACGCTCGGGCCCGGCCAGCACCGTGGCCAGGAGCCACGGTCAGTCCCAAAGAGCAGCAGCACATAGCACTTGCCGTGCAGGACAGGGGGTACGGCCAGTCCCCATTTGACGCTCGCTAAAGAGGCGAGTTCCTGCTAGCGCGATGGGTATGTTAGGGAACAGTTTAAGGATGACACGAATTTTGCATTTGCTGATGCAAACGTGTGTGTGTTATGCGTTCCTATGTGGCTCTATTTAGCTCCGATCGATCGGTTAAATAGAGCCACGTGGGAATACACAACACACACACACACACACACACACACGCTCATGTGTGCACACCTCAAACATCTACTAGCTACCTTTTTCACTGCCTGTGCTATGAGCCGCACACATCCACATCTAATGTTACAAGTTGCTACGGGCTGACTAGTGTCCTCCCCAAATTCCTCTGCTGGAGTCCTAACCCCCAGGCCCTCGGCGTGTGACTGTATTTGGAAATGGGAGTCTTTTTTTTCTTTAAGTTTATTTATTTATTTTGAGAGTGGGGGTGGGGAAGGGGCAGAGAGAGAGAGAGGAGGAGAGAGAATCCCAGGCAGGCTCCACCCTGTCAGTGCAAAGCCTGCCTCGGGGCTCGAACTCACGAACTGTGAGATCATGACCTGAGCCGAAATCGAGAGTTGGATGCTTAACCGACTGAGCTACCCGGGCGCCCTGGAGATAGGAGTCTTTAAAAGTAAGTGTTTTAATTAAAATGGGGCCGTTAGGATGGGCCCTGGTGTCCTTATACGAAGAGGCAATCCGGACACACAGACACCAGGGCAGGTGCATGTAAGACCGTGTGAGGACACAGCGAGAAGGCGGCGACCTGCAGGCCAATGGCAGGGTTTACCCCGTAGAAAGCCCTGTCTTTATGAACACAGTTTTGCTCCCTGAGAAGAGGCCACCATGGGGAGCACGCCGCACCTGCTGTGGCCAGGGGAGGGCGTTTGCCCTGTGCTCCCCGAGGGCTCCACACCTCTCTCCTCAACCATCTCTTAAACACTCACTCAAGACTCTTAAATGACCAGAGAACAGCGGGTGGCTTGGGGCTAGACGTCCCTTAGTTTATTTACTTCAAGATGAAACTGGACAAGGGCCTGGACCCAAACATGCATTGTTTGCTGGTCCGGGAGAAGAATTGCCACATACTGGGTCCCAGTCCACACCCTTCAGGGCAGGGACACTGGTAAACTGTGGACGGCAGGAGAAGGGCTCTGCCGGGGGATGGGGCCACCGGCCTCAGGAACGTCCCAGGTGGAAAGTGAATTTGGAGCATGGACTTGGAGGTCCTGGGGGCCCTCAGCAGATGGGGAAGTGGGGTAACAGTAATGACATAAACACTGAACGATGGGTTCTGAGACTCACTAAGCCCAGCTCCGTGGCAGGTAGGGGAGGAGGGACGCTGGGGGAGAGCCTTGAATGCCACCCAAGGGGTTCCTTCGGACCAAATATACAATAAGGCCATTCTTTATCTGGGTTCCTTAAATCAGAATGTGTGACCTTTCATTCTGGGTTGCAGATCACGCTAGTTAGAATTTGAGAAGTACGCCAAAGGCAAAAGAGGCAAGAGTCAATTAGACGATTTATACATCGTTCATCCAATTAAACAATTGTCGAGTACCCGCTGCCAGCTGCGTCTAGACGAGGAGCGATTTGCTCCTGGTTTTATTCATTTTCTGTCTCCATCCTCTACCAAGAATGGGTGTTAAGTCGTCCTCCGGGATGTGAAGGACGCCACCCGTACATGAAGGTGTCTATTCACCGACAGAGACCCAGCACCGGCCATTGAAAATATTGTGTTAATAGAATAGCTATATGTTTTGATGTTAAAAATATTTCAGCGGCACCTCATTAATTCAAATTAATCTCCTTCAATTCACTCGCATTCCATTAGGGGTGGGTAGGGGAGAAAGGAGCCGACATTTCCAGAGGCAGGCAGGGGGCTAAGGGTGCCCCTGAACACCTTTCATTTCATTCTTGCAGCTGGGTGAGCGAGCTCCCTCCTTCAGGCCACCTCCGTGTGGCTCTGAGGAATACGGAGCTACCATGTTTGAATTTTTTCTGAACATTTATTTATTTTGGGGAGACAGAGTGCAAGCGGGGGAGGGGCAGAGAGACTGAGAGACACAGAATCCGAAGCGGGCTCCGGGCTCCGAGCTGTCAGCACAGAGCCCGACGCGGGGCCCGAACCCACAAAGCGCGGGATCGTGACCTGGGCCAACATCGGACGCTTAACCAACTGAGCCACCCAGGCGCCCCAAGGAGCTTCCATGTTTTAAGGGGACCTCACATCCTAGGCCATGACCCTGCCCTATGTCAGAACCCAGTCCCTCTTGGTCACAGAGTGCCTTGGAGGACACAGGACCCCAGCTGAGCCAACCAACCAGTTTCCTGGGAGCTTAGGACTTGGGACTACGGAGACCATGAGAGATGTCTCCCATGACTGGGGCTGTGACGTGAACTTGGGGCTTAATGGCGGCCATATTTCCCACTTGGTGGCGAAAGCCGATCTGGAGAATAAGAGGGAATTTGACCAAATGCGGCGAGGAGGGAACAGCTGTCGATGTCGGAGTCGTGGTTTCCTTTACCCCTGGGGCCCAGCTACATCCCTGGCTTGCTAGTGGCCCAACCAGTATCTCCTCCTTGAAATCCATAACCAGACTTACTCCCTTCTGTGCTTAGGTGAGTTCCGGTTAGGTTTCTGTCACTTCACATCAAGAATCCTAACGGGCAGGTATCATTAATCATCACCATCTCACCAGGGAAGAAACGAGGCTTGGGATGCTTGCCCGAGCCCTTGCTGCTAGAAAGTTTCAGAACCGGAATCTGACCCCTGAATCTCTTTCGTTTTTCAACATACCTTTGGGTACATCCAACAGAGAGAATAGTCTCCATGACTGACACAAGGGGTCATTCTGGTTGGGGGGGGGGGGATCCCCGGAGTCAAGGAACTAAAGGCGGGGATGGGAGGCTTCAGCTCCACCCTTTCCCATCAAGTCCCCCCCCCCAACCCCCCGGGGAGCCTGGGTGGCTCAGTTGGTTAAGTGTCCAACTTCAGCTCAGGCCACGATCTCACCGTCCGTGGGTTGGAGCCCCGCGTCGGGCTTTCTGCTGTCAGCATGGAGCCCTCTTCAGATTCTCTGTCCCCTTCTCTCTCTGCCTCTCCCCTGCTTGCATTCTCTCCCTCGCAAATAAACAAACATTTTTAAAAAGTGCCCCCAACCCCAACCACTCCCCCAAAGCCCTTGCCGAGACGGCCGCCGTTGAGTGCTGCTCTGGCCCTACACGGCCTTTGAGGTCGGGCAGAAGCTCGTCTTCTCCCAGCCCCGCCGCCCAGCTCTGTGGTCAAGGGCAAACTCTCTATGACAGGCTGAATTACGTCCCCTCAAAAATTCATATGCTGAAGTCTTAACCCCTAGCACCTCAGAACTGACCGCCCTGGAGATACGGTCTTTCCAGTGGGAATTAGGTTTAAAATGAGGTCACTTACGGGGGGCCCTCATCCAAGATGTCTGGTGTCCTTAAACACGCACACAAGGAAGAGCCTGTGGAGACACAGGGAGAAGACAGCCGTCTACAATGCAAGGAGAGAGGCCTGGAACGGATTCAGGCCTCCCGGCCCTCGGAAGGAACCAACCCCGAGGGGACCTCCAGATCCGTGAGAAAATAAATGTCTCCTGTGAAAGCACGAGGCGCTCTGTGACTACTAGGCTCTCGGAGATGCCATCCTTTCTACCCGCGGGATCACAAAAGCAATACGTGTGGCCCCGTGGTGCGGGGGGTGTCGTGGGAAGAATTAAAAAGCAGACGTCAAGGCAACGGTAGCATCGGCGTGCCGTCGGCGGTGGCTGTTTACGTTCTAACGACGCTGCCCAATGGGCCGCAGACGTTTCTCTGCCCTTTGCTAGTCCTTCTAGGAATCCCGTTGCTTCCTTGGTAGCAAGGTCTCAGGAGGTGACACGGGTCCCTCTCTCCTGAAAGGACTGCTCGGGTCCGAAGGGCTCTCTGTAGAGCCACCTGGGTCTCTGCGTACGAGGGACGGAAACGCTGCCAGGTGTTGGCTCATCCCAAGAGAAGAGGGAACGGAAGGGTGCGTGGTTCACTGGCTGCCCCCAAAGAGCCCGGCGTGGAGGGGAGGGGTGACCTCAAACCCAAGGGGGGCGTCCACGTGGCTGACAGCAACAGGTACCGGCCAGAATCTTTAGGCGCCCCCTCTAAAGAGAGTGGGGGAAAGAAAGCGCTGACAGGAAAGATCTCTGAGGAAATAGGGAGCAGGCGGGCGTTGGCACTGTGGCCTCGGGTAACACTGCATCTCGTGTGTGTGTGTGTGTGTGTGTGTGCGTGTGTGTGCACGTGCGTTCAGGGGCTGTTACGGGCCGGACACCGGAACAATGAGGGCGGGCCAACCAGGGCTGGGGAAGGAGAGGGAGCGGCTCACAGCGCCCCCTGTGGGGAGGAATGGAAGGACATGATGCGTGTCCCCTTGGCTGTGACGCAGGCCAAATCTGCAGAGCTCAACGTCTGGCTGGGCCCCCCCCCCACCCCCGTCATCCACCGGCTCCCCCCACCCCAGGCCTGTCCCCAGGCACGGCGCAGGGGGGAAGTGCTGCATGGAAAAGCCCAGCAGGTGCCAGAACTGAGTGCTTCACAAGGACACGGAAAGACACCCCCCCCCCTCCCCCGGCCGGGGCCCTCCTGGGGTTTCAAGGAACATTCGAGAGGAAGCGAGATGGCGGCGGTTCCCACAGAGCCGCTGGGAAAGGGCCGGAAAAACAAGATCTTGATCTGTTCGGGGATCCTGTTTTTAGGCCTCGCTGGCTGGGCTGGGAGAGAAGTTTGCGGGTCGCCCTCTCCTGGGTGTGAGCTCCGGGAGGGGGTCCGGGAGGAGGACCGGGAGGAGGACCGGGAGGAGGACCAGTAGGAGGACCAGGATGCCGTGTGCCCGTGGGCCCTCCCACCGGCCAGCACGGGACAGATACCTGCTCCGCACTGCGCACAGGTGCTGCTGAGCTAATTAAGGATAAAAGTACCGTGTCCAGCCGCAAACCACTGAGCGCTTAAACCCCTCAAAGGCTCTTGCTAACTCGGGACACACACCCGTGCAAACACTCGGCCCCTGGGGCCCGGCCCCGCTGCTTGTGCAACTGCGTCATCCTTTCCGCTCCCCGCTCCCACCCCCGGACCTCATCCCCTTTGCTGCTGCGCATCTCTGAGGGCCCCTCACCATCTGCTGGTCACGCCTCTGGGCCTTTGCACGTGCTTGCTCATGCTGCTTGGCACGCGCTCCCCGCACTTCTCCACCCGCCGGTCCGATTTCCCAGGATGCCTTCTGTGCCCGTCCTTAGGTGGGAGAGCGCCTCCTCTCTGCTCTCCACTCTCGGCAGCACCCAAGATTCTGGGTATAATGGGTACCAGGCATTCAGGGAGCACATCATTCCTTCCCTCCTTCGTTCAGTCGGTCCCGCATGTAGTCCTTCGTTAAGAGGAATTGAACTCGCAACTCAAATTGATGAATCAAATATTCGCAGAAAGAATCAAATGATTCTAGCGCCTGCTACGAGTAGGGTCCAAAGAATTATAAAGGCCACGTTCCACATTCTCCTTCAGGGAGGGCATGCTACTGTCACACAATAGGAGAAATAAATGTATGGGGATGATGACTAATATCATGCAGTCTATGTCATGTGCTGAATCAATGATAAACATGTGGTGGGGTGCAACAGGTTTGGGGAAAGATCTTTGGAGGCTGGAGAGACCATGGGAGGCTTCCCGGAGGAGGTGGCTCTCTGTCAGGTCTTGAGTGACTACGTGACCCAGTTTATCCTTTTTGACTAAAGATAATACAGTTGAGTCTCATTATTCACAGTGGTGATGCTCCAGAAAGCCGCCCGGAACACTGAATTAGCAAATGCTGAACGCTTGCTCCGGAAGAAATACAGCGTTGGGCTCCTGCAAACATCTAGTCACAACATTTTTGTAAACCGATCAATACGTAACATGGGTTTGAACCGCAGGGATCCATTTGTACACAGATTTTTTGCCAATAAATCCAGCAGAGCACTGAAAACGTAGTTTCTCTTCCTTACAATTTTCTTAGTTACAAATTTCTTTTCTCTAGCTTATTTTATTTTAAGATTACGGTATAGGGGCACCCGGGGGGCTCAGTCGGTTGAGCAGCCGGCTTCGGCTCAGGTCACGATCTCGCGGTCCGTGAGTTCGAGCCCCGCGTCGGGCTCTGTGCTGACCGCTCAGAGCCTGGAGCCTGTTTCCGATTCTGTGTCTCCCTCTCTCTCTGCCCCTCCCCCGTTCATGCTCTGTCTCTGTCTCAAAAATAAATAAACGTTAAAAAAAAAAAAAAAGATTACGGTATATAATACACATAACATACAAAACATGTGTTAAGTAACTGTTTATGTTATTGGGTAAGACTTCCGGTCAACAGTGGGCTATTAGCAGTTAAGTTGGGGGGTGGTCGAAACTCATACGTAAATTCTGACTGCGCGAGGCGCCAGCCCCCCGACTCCTGTGTTGTTCGAGGGTGAACTGTACATTGTTCACTTATTAACATTGAACCCGTGGCCAACAGCGTTATAACCGCAGCCTGAACGAAGCTTACATAACGCAAGTATTTTTTCCGTAAGGTATGTCATTGCCTTCTTGCACTTTAGCGCTGTGTGCGGGGTGGGAGGGACGTTGTCAACAGCAAAATCGCCAACAAAAAGCACAAAAATGCTAAAAATGTGACACTAACTAGACCTCGAAAGAGACACTTGTTTACGGGCCGAGGGCTGAAACAAAAGACGGATTGTCGCTTTGTTCTGACTCGGCTGGGGCCACGTGCGTTAGATGACTCAAACGTTTTGCCACCGTGCCCGCCTGTGAATGGCCAAGAGAGCACCACGACTATTGATCTTAGGGTTACCAATAATGTTAGCGAGGGAGCGAACGGCAAATATGGAATGAGCAAATAATGAGGGTCTCCCGGAATTAACGGCATCCCCCTGACCTTGGTCACCGAGGTCTCAGAGACCCACGTCTCTGTACAGGGACCCAGCAAAGCACACAGTGGCTGTCCGTGGCCGCCTACAGGTGTGCTGGCTCCTCCCACACCCCCCCCCCCCCCCCCCCCCAAGGCCCGTGCCCCCACCCCCCGGACCTGGAAGCCGTCCCCCCACCCCCTCTGCCCTGGCCTCCGAAGGAAGGCAAACATCGGCTTCATTCTGAGAAGGAACGAATCCGGACAACCTGCAGGTAACTCCCTGTCCCGGATGCCTTTTCTGGGACTTTCTCCTCCGGGCAACAGGTCAGCCCATGGCTCAGGAGGGCTAGCATCCAAACCCCGGGTGACAGGTGCCGAATCCGGGTCAGTGTCTGCATTCCCAAACACGCCAGAGGATCACAGTGAACTCTCCACGTGTTCCCTGAGACGCGTGGGGCGTCCACGATCAAGCGTCATTCGCCTGTTCTCAGAGTCGGGCTCTGGGGGACTCTCCGGAAGTCGACCTTGGTCAGGGCCCTGTACCTGGCCCGCGGTTAACCCAGTTTTTGGCCTGGCTACTGAACATGCAGCTTTTCTCCAGCTGTTCCGCTCCCCAGAAGGCCAGCCCCACCTCCCTCCGCAAAAGACAAACAATACATTCCAGTGACCAGAGGACAGCTCGGCAAGCTATGGCCTGAAAAATAATCTAGAACAAGCAGACTGTCGGCCAAGAGGTATTTATTAAATGTCTAATAAAAATAGATACCGTTTCTTGAGGGCTTGCTGTGTGCACGCGGGCGCTGTCCTACGCGCTTTAGGGACATCACTTCGTCTGATCTTGCTAAGTTCGAGGTGGGTGATCCTCTTTTCTTCCTTTTCCGGATGGGGAGTCTGGGCCTAGAGAGTCTGGGGACGGGCCCCAGGCCACACAGCTTGGTCTTCTGGGACAAGGGATGCAAAGCGAGGGCTGGGTCCCCGAGTCTGGCCCTTAGCAATCATGCAGTGGGTGCCACTCCCGCTCGGCTTGTGGCGGCTAAATCAGCAGCCCTGTGCGCACGTGGCTCCTTGGGGCCAGGCACCCTGCAGGCCCGAGTGACCCGGATACCGACGGGAGAACGGTGCAGCCACACACATCCAGAACAAGGGCTCTGGTGTGGATGGAAGGTCTGCTCACTTCACCCCAAGTGCAGAATTTCAGTGATGAAGCCGTAACATTTTTACTTGCGAGGTGATCACACGTTTAGAATAACTGCATATTAGAGTTGGATGGCGGGGCCGGGGGGGGGCAAAGTTAAGGACTGAATGTCCCAGAATTCACACGTTGAAACCTTCCCCCTAGTGGGATGGTGTTAGGAGGCGGGGCCTTTGGGGGGGTGAGTAGGTCACGTGCGGGTGGAGCCCTCACGAATGGGAGTAATGCCCTTATAAAAGGGACCCCGGAGAGCTTCCTTGTGAGGACACGGTGACAAGACGCCATCTAGGAGCCATGAGTGAGCCCTCACCAGCCACTTGGATCACAGACTTCCAGCCTCTAGGACT